ACCACCATGACCAGCTAATTTTGTATTTTAGCAGAGATGGGGTTTCACCATGTTGGTGAGGCTGGTCTCAAACTCCTGACTTTGAGTGATCCACTAGCCTCGACCTTCCAAAGTACTGGGATACAGGTGTAAGCCATCATGGCTGGCCCTTGTTTTCTTAAGGAAACCGAGGGAAAACAAATTGCCAACAGTTGGCTGTATAAATCAGTCCAGAAAGCAAGTATGTGTTTTAAGCATCATTCTCTGCCCAGAACCATGCCAAGCACTGTTAACAACAATAATATTTTTTAATGGAAGAAATAAATTTATAATTCAATAAGAATTATTTGTTAAAATTATTTTTCAAAAATTATGTGTAAAGACTTTAAATAAAGCCTAACAGCTAACTATATATAATTTCATGAAAGAATTTTTAACACAGAAAAGTAGAAAGAAAATAATCTCCAAATTTTAAGATATTAAAAAAGTCAGGATTTTGACATTCTATTTTTCTTACAATCTAATTATTTTCATGGCTTGTTATAAGTGGTAGGCTATATTTCCTAGAGTTATGACTGAATTTGTGAACATAAACAATAATTCCATAGAACTCACAACTCTTGGCACACAAACTATAGTTCAACACACAAAGTCAAATTGTTTATTTGATGGTTATGTGATTAAATAAGTATAAAAATACTTAACATCAGTGGTTTTCAACTTTTGATTTTCCTTAGAAGATAAACATTTTTAAGAATAAAAATAATTGAACTTGATAAAAAGTAAGCTACTCTTTTTCCCAAGTAAAATGTTTTAAAAACAGTGCATGTAAACTGTGATCCATTCTCAACTTTGTTTTCCCAAAGAATGAACATTTCACAATGGGGGAAAGCCATATTTCACAAATTATTCATTGTGAACATCTCACCAAATATTATATATTTGTCTTTTTTTTTTTTTTCCACTGATCAGTGAAAACTTCATCATAGCCCTGCCATTGGGAACTACTGCAATACGCTAGTGATTCTCAATGGAGTGTAGTGATGGGTTAGAAACTCTGAGGGTCCTTTGTAGTTTGAAAAAGCATGCTCAATTTTAGTAATGTAAACTGGTACATTTAAAAAGCACAGAACAACTGGTAAAAAACACAGGGAAAAAAAAGGGAAAGCATTGCAGAGTATGTGTGGGTTGTGAAAGGTTCTGAAACACTGTCTTATACCCAAAGAAGTCACACGTTATACACATTAGTATAAAATTATAGAGTTTTAAAAGAACTCTGAGATCTTGTAATCCCAACATATTGTTTTACAAATGAATAAATTGAGGAGTACATTTAAATAATTTCATTCCAAAAACTGATGAAAGCAGAACTGAATTATTTAATCTCAGCCAAAAACTACTGTGATAGTAAATTTTATGTGTCAACTCGACTGGGCCATTTGGTGCTGAGATATTTGGTACATATTCTGGCTGTGTCTGTGATGGTTTTTGTGGATGAGATTAATATACAAATTGGTAGATGAAGTAAGGTAGATTGTGCTCCCCATTGCGGGTGGGCAACATCCAGTCTGGTGAAGGCCTGAATAGACAAAAAGGCTGAGTAAGAAACAATTATTCTTCTCTGCCTGATTGTGTTTGAGCTGCGTTGTAAGTTTCATCCTGCCTTTGGATTTGCACTTAGACTGGAATTTGCATTATTGACCCTCCTGGCTCCTAGTCTTGAGCTCGGTCTCCAACTACACCATAGGCTCTCTTGCATCTGGACTTCTAAGTCTCATAATCACATGCATCAGTTCCTTATAATTTCTCTCTCTTTTTTTTCTCTTTCTCTCTCTCCAAACACACACACACACACACACACACACACACACACACACACACACCCTATTGGCTCTGTTTCTCTCTAGAACCCCGACTAATGTAAGTATTGACCTCAACAGAGACATGGCTGTCTTGAACAAAATCTCTGCTGAATTCAACATGTAGTTCTATAGCACATGAGGTAATAATTGTACCCAAGTAGTTGATATGGATTGACTGTGTTCCCGCACAAATCTCACCTTGAATTATAGCTCTCATAATCCTAATCCCCACATGTCATGGGAAGGAACTTGTGGGAGGTAATTGAATCATGGGGGTGGATGTTTTCCAAGCTGCTCTCATGATAGGGAACAAATCTCATGAGATCTGATGGTTTTATAAAAGACAGTTTCCCTGCACATTCACTCTCTTGCCTGCTGTCATGGTGATATGCCTTTGCTCCTCCTTCAACTTCTGCCATGGTTATGAGGCCTTCCCAGCCATGTGGAATTGTGAGTCTATTAAAACTCTTTTTATTTATAAATTATCCAGTCTCAGGTATTTCTTCATAGCACTATGAAAATGGACTAATACAAGACTGTATACTCCAACTTGCATCTCAAGACTGGCAATACATAAAAGCACAAAAATAGTAGGTTTACTTATGAGAAGTAACAGTTATTGAATTTAGAATCCATATAGATTTCAGGTCATTCCTCACCATCTGCATTTGTTTTTAAAGACAGCAGTCATGCCCTCCTCACTCTCTACTGTATTGATAGAAAAAGGACACTGAGCAGGGAGGATTAGAGTACGAACAAAAGAGAAAATGAAGCTGAGTTTGAAGTCTACATGATCTAGGCAGTCCCTAGCATTATAGCATCACATTTCTACTGTGTTGAGTCATCTAAACCTTATTTCTGGTTTCCTCTCCAGCCATTTCCAGGTACAATCACACTGTCTCCCTTTTTTGTAGGAAGTATGGAAATGACCTATCATGTTTATAACTCAGTCTTACAGGATGCACTGGAAATCCTTCTTGAACATCAGAGGAGTATATACATCATGTAGAATGTTTCCCTGAAATGGGTTATTAGAACTGCTATTGTTTTCATTCATTAGTGCCATTTAGTATAGAGTAGATTTTTATAGATTTTATAGTATATTGGATACTTAAATGTAATAACTTATTTCATTTCAGATTTAATTCATAGTAGCAGGTAACAGCAGCTTCATTTATTGATAACTTACAATGCTCCCTGCAGCATGCCAAATATTTTATTTACATCACACTCTATAGTTCTGATATTAGTAAAACGGAGATGTTAAAAGACAGTGCAAGTTTCCACTAAGAGGAGAGATTCAAATCACACCAAAGCCCATGCTACTTAATACTAATGACCAAATATGGTCTGAAAAATTTAGTGAATTGATAAAAAGATAAATAATACGTTAGATATGTTAGACAGCAAATACAGACTTTTAATATTTTGGAAATCGTGAAATAAATAGCACCCTACAAATATGTAAGAATTATTGATAAAAACTGACTTAACTTTTGAACTCACACACAAATGGTTGTGTATCTAATTTACTTAATCAGCAGAAACAAATATCTCCTAGTATATTTAACCCTCAATCTCTTCTTTGGTGAGGAGGACATAAATCTTGTCTCTCACCAAATTAGGGAAACCATTAAGACTGTATGCCAGGACTGGTATCTCTGGTTAATTCAGATGTATTTTGGCCAGGCAACTGTGAACAGGGATGTTCCAAGTATTATTTGCTGTTCCTTATTTGTTTTGCTCCACAAAAGCACAGTCAGATCATATGGCAATAAGGCTCATTAATATGCATTGTGTGCCTGACACACTGTTTAGGCAAGGAGCAAGTTTTGAAGTGGGAAAGCCATTGTCCGCCTGCTGCTGACTACATGGAGTATTTTAAAGAGTTTTAAAATACTGCAGACATGAAAATGACAAAATCCCATATTGAGGATTGTATGATTTGAGGGTTGTGAGAATAGTTCACATATTCTCAACACATTTAAGAGGTTGCAGCATGTTAAGAAGATAAAATTCACTTGAGCATTTCTCACATTTAGTTCTATAGGACAACAAATCTGATTGGCTTGAAGCCAGGGAAGGATGACAGCAGGAACAGATCCCTCAAGGTCGTTTGTAGAGGAGAGGGGTGGTAGCATAGCATTGTATGGGCTGCATCACTAACCTTACCTTCTCTCAGACTGCTTTCTCCAGACTGCCTTCTCCAATCCTAAGAAGCGAGGCCACTGACTGAAACAGGTTCACTCTACAGAAAAGTCAACCCGTAAAATCTTTCTAAACACTGGTTCATGTAGAATTATTTTCATAGCTGCAGAGAAAATTGGCAAAAAAATAATATATTGACCAAAGTGTAGGAAACCTGATCAAATAATTATGTTCCCAGATTGTTTTATTATAAAAATAAGGCCACATACATTGCAAACCATTTGTAATAATTACCTGAGATTTGTTCATGCAACAGTTCAAATGTCAAACTTTGCCATAGCAATTGCTTACTATATACCACAGTTGTTAGAAGATTATTTTAGGTGGGTACTCATTTCCCTTCATTATTTTTCTTTGCTATAAAGTACTTTTTCTGCCATTATTATGACTGAACCTTCTGAAAAGTGAGCTGAGAAGAACATCATGTATATTGAAATAATATTGAGTAAAAATATTTCTTGTTTCAACTTGATTCAGAGATAAAAGCACACCATGCTTTGGAATAGTTTATATTTTTAAAGAATCCCAACTACAAATAAATAATTATATTTTATTTTGAAGTAGAGTGGAAATTTTAAGTACTGAATTAATTGCCCGGACCACATAGAACTGTATATGTCAGCTATAAACTATGAGCCAATTTTGTATTCATCATCACTGGAGAATTACTTATACTCTCCATGTAAGTCACTTAAAAGACACAGCAGTTACAACTCCCCAGATTAATGTGGCACCTATGAATGCATGTAATCATGTGTGAACCTTAAAATTCAAAACTGTTTAAAATTGTTTTATTAATGTACCATAGATATTTACAAGATTTTAATAATATACATTTTTGTTTCTTTCCAAACAAGTCTGTATTAAGAATGTGTCTTGTTTCAGAGACTGGAGAGCATATTTACAGAATGTTTCGCTTTCAAAAAAACTCTCAAATATTTATGGTTTTATTCATCGGATAAGTGGCTGAATAGCAAAACAGTAAAAAATCACAATGACAATTGACAGAAAATGCGTGCTAGGTTCTAAGAGTTGAATTCCTCTGGAACTCAAACCTGCAAAATATAAAAATAAGACAAAAATTTCTTGAGATAAAGTATTGCCTGCTAGATTAATTTTTCAAAACCCCAAATTTATACTAACATTTCTCTTCTAGTAACATGTTTTCTTATACTTCTCATATTCACATTATATTTAATTTTAGCAAGTGCCTTACCCTTTGTCCTAGGATGCCTGCTTTAAGTATAAAAATGTGAAAGAAAAATCCCTAAATTGGCAAAGTCTGCCTAAAGCATTGGCCAACATTGGATGCTAATGACTTGCACTCAATCACAGCTTCAGGCAGATGAGTAAGTGATTCTTCTAACGCAAAAATAATACATTACTATTGCATGCTAACCCTGACTGACTGATGTTGGTTGGCTTAGAAAACTGTATTGAGAAGGACTTGAAGGTTGTTCCTTATGAATGCCACACTTGATTAGTGATGTCTACCACGAACATGGGAAAGAGTATATTTGCATGTGCTTCGTATTTGCCATCGCTGCTGTAAGAGACCTGAAAGAATCTATGAAAAAACTTTCTGATTTTTGTGCCAATAGAATGAGTGATAGAATTATGCTCTACTGACACAAAGTTGTTTTTTTTAATTTTTCATTTATTTTAATTTTTTTGGTTTTCAAGAGAGGAAACATAAAACCATTTAATATATAAGCATGTTACAATTTTGGAGAATAACTTTTAAAAAATTGGCTCATCATCTTTTGTTCACAATTGAAAATGTATCTTATCACTCAACATTTAAACCATAACTGGAAGGTTTCATGGAGCTGAATTTCATGCTGCAGCTGTCTCAGTTCAAAATCTACTACAACAAGGGTGACTTAACTTACTTGACATTTTTGGAATCCTAATTTCCTCACTGCTGCTTCCATCCCCACCATCACTGACTGTTCTTATTTCAATTAGGTAGTCTTCTTCAAATGGTACCAGAAGCTCAGCTGATGTATTGTTTGTTTCCAAAATATGAGTCTTACTCTGTCTGTTTTGCCGGTACAGAATCTGAATAAAATAAAGTATCAAGTTAGCATGGACATGTTGCTTCTCTAAGGTTCACACAACTGTTCTGGAACATTGTAAGACATAAGACACATCACCGTAAATGTTGTACTCCTCAGATGGAAACATCCAGGTGATGCTTTTCCTTTAAATTCAGTTGCTACTGTTAAGAAAAAGAGTTTTGTTTTTTGGTTTTTGTTTAGCCAATGACTCTGGAAGGGGAGTAGATTTATCTCTATTAGTTAAATAGCTTGAGGCTATTATCACTGGAGCTTGCTGTGAAAACTCACTCTTTAGTTTGGACCCATTTCAAATGTTGAATATATGTCTGCCAAGAGATGATGCCCATTATCACCGATGGAAATGATTTGCTCTGGGTATTTGACTACACTCTTGTTAGATGCCTTTTATGTTAAAAGATCACATCATACTATAGCCTAAGTTCTAAAAACTCTATTTAGTTATATTCTTTGGTCTCATTCTCATCACGTCTACTACCCACATATGCCATCATCTTATGATGGCAAGGGGTGTCACTTGAAGAAAAAATGTTACATCCTACGGAATTTTATTTTTTGATGTTCCCTAATACACTACAGGACATTAGAATATAAACCTCTTCAATGGAAAATTAGAAACCAAAAATGGCATATTCAAAATAATCTTGAAAAAGATTCCAGTGTTTCCATATGAATACAATTTGTTTTCTATTTGGGTGTCACATGTCTCATTCCTTAGTAACTTGATTGGTATGATTAAAAGACAAACTAAATACTCACCTTGTATCCCAAAACTTCAGACTCATTTTCCATGGTTTTTACATGCTCCCAGTTCAAACATAATTTAGAGTTGGTCAGCTTCCAGGCAATGTTTGCTGGTGGTTGACTTGGAGCTTTAAAGAGACGATGAAAGATCCAAATGCATATTAATTAGCTCATGATCACTGTATGATTTGTCAATATGAAAAGAAAAAAATAAGACTTCCATGATTTGCATAGAAGGAGCTAAAATGTTTTCAGTGTCATTTGAAATATATTAATTCTAATCACAGTAAGCAAATTTATTCACATCTGCTCATTTGGGAATGCCTTTGTGACAGACTTATGAATTAATAATGGTTTGCTGCATGTCCAGTATTAATTTATTAATCATTACTGTTGAGTTTGTTTACTTTATCATATATAAATGACAGAGAGTCTCTTTATCTAGGATTCCATTTGGCCATCAATCAGTGAGCATGTTTGGTAAATTCAAGTTGCAAACATTTTATGTAACAACACAGAGATGTTCATTCTTAAAATCCTTTATTTTTTAACATTGTATTAGTTAACTTTCTAATTGTATCAAAACCAACTCAAAATATTTTAAGCAAAATATTTGTAGTAAATTATCATGGATATTTTTTATAACTCATGGCAGATTGCAGCAGAGTCTGAGGAGAGACCAAAAATGTCACAAAGCCAAGTTCTTCACTCTGCTTATCAAAGCAGGTTCTGCTGCATGCTCATCTTGCTAGAGAGCAGCCCTTTGTCATTGTCACTGTACATGGCAGAAATCATGACTGTTCACCACACCTGAAATTTGAAAGCTTCTCTGTTCAGAGACAGTCAAGTTAGAATTCCCTCAAGAAAGCTGATGATTAACTTCATTTGGTCATATGTCTATCTTACCTTAATTAACTTGTCCGGACAATGTGAAAGACACATGCCATTTAAAATAAATGGAGCTTCTGGGAACTCAGAAAAGGGAAAACTCATCACAAAGTCATTGATCATCCCAAAGGGTGTCAACTTCAAATCTAAACTGTGACTTTTAGTTTTCTGAAATTAATCTTGTCTTGGTGAGAGTTGGTGGAAGATAAGAAATGAAAGATTTAGAATCAGACTTCTAAAGTAATAGATGTAGTCCAACTAGAGAATTTTACATACTAGAATCCAGGTTGGGAAGTCACTTATCCAAAATCATGCAGCTAATGAATATTGGTCTGTTGCTTTCCTGTGTAGTGTTTCTCCAGAAAAACTTGCTGCTTTTGAAAGATTTGAGTCAAAGAAAAACATGACTATTTTTGAGATTTAAGAAACTGGAGAGATTTAAAATAATTCATCTGGAAAGCAGAAGCAAAGATAAAACTGCCCAGCAAGATGTATTTGGCATCTTTTTTGAATTTGTGAGGCTGAATGAGAGTAATATTTAATTCATTATAACACTGATAGAAATGGAAACTATTTCTTTCAGAGTTTTGACTCAATTGCTGTTTAATCTCCTACATGTCACTAGAAGAGTCACATATTGCTGAATCCAGGCGTCTCAATTATATTACCATGCATTCTCTCTCCACCCTAAATCCACTGGGATATCACTGTTGTTTACTCAGCCACTTATAGTACAGTTGGGATGTGTTAGAGAAATGTTTCCCTGTATGCTCACATGAGGCTCAGTTCATATTTCATTACAGATTTATCATGTCGGATTATATTTATTCTTGATGATATGTTTCTTTAAATTTCTTGAGGGCATATGCCTTATTCAGCTCTATATTACCAAACCCTAGCACAGCGCCTGGCATATAGGAGACATACAGTTCACGTATTTTGAATAAATGACTGTACAATAAGATGGCTAAAGAAAACTGCTCATGTTCCTGTGGTGATCTTCTCAGGCTGTACTGATTATACACTGGACTCTGGGCAGATCCATAGCTGACAAAATACAGCCAATCCATTCATTATGTTGTCCTATGATCAAGGCCAATTGCCATGGTCAGACTCATAGCAATCCATGTTTATTTACAAGATGGACAGGCCAATTGGATTGACCACGTCCTGGTACGTTTCTTGACAATATAAACCCATTATTAAAGACCTGAAAGCTTTTAGCTTAGTAAGCATTCAATACATTGCTTGTCAATGTACAATGTACTTGTCAATTACAATGCTTATCAACATATTTATTTCTAAAGGTCTGAATGGCAACCATAATAACTGTGTAACTATCCTTCCTCAATTTATCCTCCAGTGACTTTTAAATCTTGTTCTCATCTATAAAAGAGGTAATATCAAAATTCTCACAGGATATTGCAATTGTAATGTCTAATATACTCTAGATACCTTTCTTTTTATCTTTGTTCTTTAAAACTCAGCACCAACATTACCATTATACAATCAATACAGAAAAAATATAAATTCACCACTTCAGTGTCATTGGCAGTGTGGATTCTGAATGTTTTATGTATTTCTGTATGTTCTGTTTGTTTGTTTTAGGAAAATGTATTGTTTTCAACACTATAAATCCATTGAAAAAATCAACATGCTAGGAGACAGAACTGATTAAATCCAGCTATGTAAAGGAGCAGTTTTTGATGTTGGCAATAACTTTGTCATTTACATGTTTGCATTTGTTTGTTCATCTATCAAAACAGAAGCACAACATTCCCTGGGCATAAAATAAGAAGAGTTGCATCCTGAATGAGTACCTTGTTATGAATAGCCAATTATACGGATTATTTAGAATGCTTTACTTGTCTCACTTTCTGGGAGATAAAAAGAGTTGGGTTTTGATGTCAGAGAGACTTGAATTTGTATCCAGTCTCTTCCAAGAGCTGGATTTTCCCATTATAAAATGAAACAAATAAATTCCTACTTTATGAGATATAAAATAAAATATGAAACATTACTCATTCGGTTAGTGGTACGTATTAAAAAGCTCTGTAACTGTTAATTCTCTTTCTGAGAGTAGCAGTTCTCCGCTGTGGTGTTATGACATAATCAATTTCTCAATTGTGTTGGAAATGGTTTTTTACTAATAATACAATTCTGAAGTTTGCAAATGATTCACTTCTTAGATATAATTAGTGTACATTCAAGTTTTCCCCTTAATAATATTGCTCTTACTTGGATCTTTATATGCTTTTAGAAAGGGAGATAAAATGGAAGAGTCTCAGTTCATTATCTTGGAATATCTCTTAGTACATCCTTTCTTATCTTTATCCATGGATGTTTCTCCAATGTCATTCCCTTATGTCTGATAATTGAAAAATAAAAGCTTCTGAAAGCTGCTTTAGAAGGCCGTCACCTTAATATGAGCACTGTTAACAGTTCTGGTTTGATGTAGTTGATTAAACTGGATTGCAGAAATCTATAATAAAATTAAAATTTCTATCACCTTGACAAACCAAAATACTGTCACATGGACAGCAAAAAACAGGTATCATGATGTTTGTACCAAGTCTGTCAATGGTAAACTCAACAGGCAAGCCCTTTTCTGATTTTTAAAATCTCTCAGGCAATTTCCAAAGACTAAATCATTTTCTATTAATCAAATGACAGAGTAACATTAAACGTCACAGCTCTAATGGTTTCCCTATAATCAATTTTTCTGTAGATGGCATTTATATTCAACTGTAGTTCACACTGTGAACTCAATTAAAAAACAACTTCTTATGTTACACTTCTAAGTAACAGCATGGGGTTGACATTTGGGCAAAAGAGAAAGAACGTAAGTGCAAGATAAAATAAAAGCTTAATGCTTCCTTTATGTTTAAATATGGATTGATTGCGTATTTATGGCAAGAAAGAATCCAGTACAAAGTGCTAGTCAGTCAACGTCAAGGGCTAAATTGAGCCAAAATTTGCAAACACTTTGAGTTACTGTGTCTGAATACTTCTTTCTATAAAAGTGTGTTTTGTTTGTTTTACTTTTCTTTTCCTCTTGGAGTTGACGTAAATATTTTTCTTTCTTTCCTTGTAAATCTAAATTCCTTGTAAGTAATGTCTGTGTGGATCGCAGAATATTTGCAGTACCTCTCAGTTGTCTTTTAGAAATCCATCATTTCCACTAGGCCCTGGTACTTACAGTTGAATCACTGATATTTGTTTAAAAAGACTATAACACTACAATCATCATCCTCAACAGTAACAATAACACTTAAGAAGTTTGGCATATATTATTCCTTTTGTTTGGAAGTTCTTTCATCTTTAAATCCTCTTTATCTTTAATTTTGTATACAAGGCCTATGCTATATAGATGCCTCTTCTTATATATATCTTAGTCTCTCACTGATTTTCTTCATTGTACTTTTCATAATCTATAATTATTTTATTCGTTTGTCTTTTTTTGTCTTGTTTTAGGTTGCCTCTTCTCTAAAAGAGAAATTGCCTGTTGGCAACCATCTTGCTTGTTTTAACTGCTCTTAGGCCCTTAGCACGAAACTCTGGGCATGGCTCATGGGAGGCACCATCTTTTGAGTAGATGACTGAATGATCAAGCAAAAAAACCAAAAAAAACAAAACACCTCTGCTTTTTCTTTAGCTTATCCAATTAGAATAGACAGAGATTTTGGTAAATGTGAGCTCTGCTTGTTCAGACTTTCCTGTGGAAGATGCATTATCAGATTATAAACAGAGACAGTGCAGTTTAAATGTGTGACGAATGCAAAATTTTTTGCAGTCACCACTATTGAGAAGTAATCTTGATGTCATCTCAAGGATATGGAAAATCAAAGTCATACAGAAGTAGCACCTGGAATCATGGTTATCATCAATGTTTCATTAATGTTGTTTCTCATACATGTTTGGATGTTCTTCTATGGCCCTTAAAGAAAATTTCTGCAACAAATTTATGAAGTGCAAGAAAGTAGCTATGTTTCCTTACTTAAAAAATTGCAAAGAAAGTGAAATTGCCTCTAAAGGAGGAGTATAATAACACATGTTACCATGCACTGAGCTTTCATGTATAACAGCCTCTGGGTCACCTTGGTGTATATTATATCCTTTAGTTCTTAGAGAAATAACTAGAGGTAAGTATCTTCAACTCTGTTCTTCAGATGAGAAAATGCATTCACGGTTATCAGATAATTAGATCTGGCACACAGATAGTACATGGCTGAGCAGGGATCCATATCCACAATTCTCTCACTCTGAAGTCCTATTCTAAGTTTTTCCAACACTGTCTCACAATGGGCCAAAGTTACTGGAAATCTTAGAAAAATGCTAATACGTTAAAGGGGAAATGTTGGAGGAAGTTATAGAGCAAAAGAAAAGAAAAAGACCATTTGACTATATATAGGGCTGGCAGGGGCGCTACAAGCTGAGAGGTTTCATGAAGCCAGGTAAGTGAATGTTAGACTTTAGAAGATCAGTAAGTCTGGGATCTCAGGGTTAGAAGAGGAATGATATAGAAAGGAGCTTTCAGACAGATTGTGAAAGATGTTCCGTGCCTTTTTCTTAGGCTTCATTCTCGGGAATAGAGGAGACAATGACATTTAAGGAAGAAAAGAGTAATGATGGCATGAGAGAAGGAAAAATTTCAAAGCAGTTTGAGGTTTAGATGGAAGATTTGAGAGTCGGGGGAGAGACTTTTCAGATGGTTAGGGAGGAAGATGATAAAGGACCACAGTGGTCATAAGATGAAGATATTTTATTCTCATCAGTCTAACAGAAGCCATGACAAAACCTTTCTAAGCATTTGTGTCCTTCTATCTAGAAATCAAAATAACAAACTCCTTGACTTAATGTAATAATTAAGTGAGATGTAGTATGATAAAGTTAATACAGGGCTGGGGACATAGAAGTACTCAATATTTTAAAATTGTGGTAAGCAAAATAAGGACACCCCCAAAATATGATCCCATCCTAATTCCCAGTACCCATGAACACATTACTTTATATGGAAAAGGAGTTTGCAAATATGATTAGGGTAAGGTTCTGGAGATGAGAAAATATTCCTGGATGATTCAGATGGCTCCAAAGTCATCATGAGGGTCGTTACAAGGGAAAGAGGAAAGCTAGAGAGAGAGTTAGAGGAGTTGTGATGACAGAAGCAGAGGATCAGAGGCAGAGATGTAAAGACACCCCACCGTTGCTGGAATTAAACATGGAGGAAGGGGTCACAAGCCCAAGGATGTGGGTTTCAGATGAGAAAATGCATTCAGAGTTATCAAATAATTAGATCTGGCACAGAGATAGTACGTAGCTAAGCAGGGATCCATATCCATAATTCTATCACTCCAAAGTCCCATTCTAAGTTTTTCCAACACTGTCTCACAATGGGCCACAGTTACTGGAACTCTTAGAAAGGCCAGAAAACAGGAAACAAATTCTATTTTAGAGCTTCCAAAGCTAGTGCAGCCCTTGCACATGTCTGGATTTCCACCCAGTCAAACCCCTTTCTAACTTCTGACCTCCAAAATGTTTGATAACCAACTTGCATTGTTTTAAAACACAAAGTTTGAAGCCATTAATAGAAAACTAGAAAAGTTACTGTTCTGTTTTCACAATGTCTGTGATATAGAATGTCAATGTAATAAAATGAGAGGTTGGATAATATTTAAATACAAAGGGATGGAGCCTTGTATATTCTTCTTATTCTCAGGTGCTTGTTGGCTATTTTGATAGGGTCACTGAAGCCTACAGGCTGGTAAGAGCCAAATTTAAGAGCCACTGAAACTAGATATCCATAGAAAAAATTAGGAATTACAGAGGTTTTTTTGTTGTTGTTGAATTTAGTTAAGTAAGTTGAATACTTAAAGAAACACAAATCTTCAGTTTAAATTTTGATTATTATTTCACTTTTTCCTTAGCACAGGTATTCTAACATTGTATCCTGGGTGAAATTACTCATTGTAACTTAAACTGTTTTCAAAAATTTATATCTCGTACTCTTTGCCAAATTGATCATGTGTTAACCATCAGACAAACCAATAATCGTTTTAGCATTTGATGTGAATTTCAGTCCAATGCATTTGTAGGATTAGTTGGGCCAATTGAACAAATTTAGTGTCAAAAACAAGGAGTTTTTCTGCTTAGAAACACAGAATAATTTGGTACAAACTAACAAATTTAATTTAGGTTGCATGAACAATGAAACTAGAAAATTTAGATGACAGAAAAATATTATTGATGTTTTCTGAAATATGTGTGTGTATACACACACACACACACACACACACACATATATATATATATGTATATATATATGTATACACAGAGTGAGGTCAGAGATGCCTGGACCAGGTGCCCCATCACAGGTGCCCACAACCCGAGATGCAGGAGGAGTGGCTCGTGTGAGAAGCCCCTTCTTTTTTTTTTTTTTTTTTTTTTTTTTTTTTTTTTTTTTTTTTTTTTTTGAGAAGCCCCTTCTTAGGCTCTGTCAACCCATCATGCAATCCGGCCTGGAGCTGCTCCTGGCAATGAGCCTGCCTTTGCTGCCAGCCCCCTGGGACCGAGTCTGGGGGAAAATATCGACCTTTTCTGCAAATGAGAGTAGCAGTGTTTTACCTACATCCACCACCTCTGGCTGCAATGGAGCCCTGTCTCAGTGGGAATGTCACTGCTATCATCGTGGTCTTCTCTATCCTCACCATCTTACTCCTGGCTGTGGGGCTGGAACTATTAATGTGGAAACTTCGGGAGACATGGCAGATGGAGGGCACCTTGCCCAGCAACAAGGAGCAGTTCTCCTACGCAGCCAAGGCCTGGGCCCTTCAGGACTCCAGTGAGACCATGCAGGGCTGCCTGCACATTTAGGTCCCTTATTCATCTGTCTCCCTTCATTGCTGTGTGATCTTGGAGAAGGGCAGTGCTCTCTCTGGGCAATCAGATCCACTTAGTACTTAAGAATAGCAGGGAATAAAGTCCTTCAAAGTCCGCCCCTGAGGTCAAGGGACAGTGGGGTTACTCACTTTTATATATTTATATAAAATTAGTAGTGAGATATGAAAAATACATATTATATATATATAATGCAGAAAATCTCAATAAGAATTTTAAAACATATATATATATAATATGTATATGTTATATATATAATATGTATATGTTATATATATATATGTCTCTCTCTTCCTGAAGTAAATGATTAGTTTAATATTCAGCTTTCAATTCACCTTAAACTGGTTGATGGGATTATGTATAATAAAACTTGACCTGAGTCTTAGCTCAATAACTGCACTAAAATGTCTGTCAGTCTATCATGATACAATCTGTTTTTTAAAAAAAATGTTTCTAACACATTTCTAATCATTATTGATTTTGCTTCAGATATAAACTGAATTACACATGAGAGCTTTTGTGAGTTTGGCATCTCTCAGTCAACTAGATCTAAATGTCTAGTCGATCTGAAAACTGCTCATTGATCAGAGATTTTTATCCAGATTTGCAGATTAGCTGAAAGAAGGTAGACCACTCCAGAAAGTCCAAAGAAGCAAATCATAAATCCAAGTCATCTAGCAACGACTTCACCGATTTAGTCAACATTAAGTAAAACAGGAAGAGCAAGAGAATGACATTGTTAACTAATCCATTCTTGAAAATAACTCACAGCCTGTCTAAAGCTGGATGAATTGGAGGAAAGCTGGTTCAGAGATTTTTGGTCCACAGGCTTTTGGTTTGTTTGTCTCCTTCCTAGCAGTTCCACAGCACTTCCTATTTTCCAAGATGCTCCCCCAATCAGTACCTTGTCTGTGCCTCATGGGTAATTTGGGAAGGCAGTGAGGACAGAGAGAATTTCCATTTAACAGATAAGAACATGAAAGCAGAAAAATGGAATGCCTTGTCCTATTTCAAGTCATGAGTCAGTGGTGTACCCAGAATTGGAACATGAGCCACTGACAGTTAATCTGCTTATATAGAAATAACTGGATGATCTATTTAATCAACGGCCTATTCTCTGAGATTGTTCCTAAGTTTTTTTTTTGATATGACAAATATACACATAGGGGAGTAACTATAACATAACTTCATTTTTAAACTCTTCTCAACCACCTCTTCTTTCCAAATATGGTGGTGTAATAGGAGTATAGGTAAACTAGATTTTTGTTAGTGGTAGCAAATTGGTCTTCATCTTCCTCAAAATTCAGCAATTGCATTTGTTATTTTTCATTCATAAGGATTCAGAGAGCAAAAAAATGTGTTTTTAAAAGGCTGAGTTTGTGAATAATTTGCGTTCATTTATAATATATAAGGCATATGTAAACATTACACAACCACAAAAAATCATCTTGCAGGAACTGTCAGATATGATCAGACCTTTCCCAGTGTATTGTTGTGCCTCATATTATGGAATATTTGTGCATTACCAGACTCAATGAGAAAACAAAGGCAGCAACAATCACCAAAAGATGAAAAACATTCATCTTTTATTTAGTAGATTCTGATTATGTGAAATCGCCTGGCTGATTATAAAGGGATATAAGGCAAAGCAGAAGGGTTCATTCTTAGATTTCAGGGGCTTCCAAGTAAGCTGTAGTAATAAGGTATCCAAAAAGGAAAGATCTAGATATCTGACAGTTGTAGGATCACATCTGAATATACTCAGACTCAAATGACAAATAAAACCAAACCAAAACAAAAACCATTTACTGAGCATTTATTAAGGTGTGTACTAGGCATTTACTACTAATAATCTCTTTCAATCTTGAACACAACCGATGAGACATAAATACAACTTTTTCCTCATTTTATAGGTGAGGCAACTGAGACTGAAAGATAAATACCACCTAACATTCCAATGATGGGCGGTAAATTTTCTAGGGCATTTTGAAGGAGGGCATCAGGCCCAGTCTTAAACATTATACGCCTCTGTCTTTCATTGATATACTTGGAATAGTCCTCTTTTGGAATTCCAGAAAGATCAAATATTTACCTTGATTTTTACCAAAAAGTTTTAACAGGTATCTATCTGCATTTAAGGGACAAACCAAGTAATCAAAGTAAACAAGTAGTAAATAGATGAGGTGAGGGGAATGAAACAAACATCAGGCAAAGGAACAGGTTTCTCTTCACAGATGAATCTTGTTTCCTGGAGTATATGTATACTTACGAGACTTTTTGGTGGTAACATTGACTGGGGGGCTTGAGGGCCCTGTCCCAGCCGTGTTGTAAGCTCTCACGGAAGCAAAGTAGATGGTATTAGCTTTCAGCCCTGTGATGTTTTTGGTTGTGATATTTCCAGTAACTCTAATTTTACCAATCATGGATTCCTTGGAGTCATCTGTCCAGTATAAGACCTGATAATTAAAAAACAAACACAAGCAATTTATTGCTCCCCAACAACTATCAACCATTGTTTACCAACAACTTTTTCAATCACAACCACAAGGGATATAGGAAGAAATAGAAGCATAGATGACAAAAACATTTTCTAATTAAAATGGTTATACAACAGCAATAAAATTGTTATTCTCCAATTTTGTTGTTGTTGAAAAAAGGCAAGAATACAAATTCACAATGGAAATTAGAGAAACTGATTTTTTAGATTACAAAAGTAAAGTATTTTATGAGCTATCTAAAAGTTACCAGCTTTAGCAAATGATGTCTAAAAAGTCAGACAAAAACACATTTGTATATAATCAGTCAAAGACGATGGTTATAACTTTTTGCTGTTGGCATTTGTTTTCAGAGTTCTTTGAATCACAGGTTAATTAATAATGCAATTTATACTGAGCTCTACCTATGCGATAGCATTGTTTTAGGTACACTGAAAAAAAAAAAACAAACGAGAAAATTAAGTATCCCCTCATCATCTAGCTAAGAGGTTAGAATCCACAGTACATGTGAAAATAAGTTATAGAATGCATTCCAAAGAAGTGATATAGAAAAAAAATGCTACAAGAATTTGATGAAATACATCAGGAATTGGTGAGAATAGAGCTCAGACAGAAGACAATACTAGAGAGGAAATCTGAGAAATAACTAGGGTTCAGATAAGAGGTAAGGCATTCTTGTCATGGAGTGGCAAAGACATCTGTCATGAGAATAGAATTATATTTTGGAATCCGTGTGTGTGTGTGTATCCCTGTGTGTATCTATATCAGTGTGTATATATGTATGTATATCATCTCGCTATATATGTGTGTATATAATATAATCATATAATCAATCATATCATATATATGTCTATAGTCATATAATCAGGCGACCGATTATATACATATATATATCACACACATGCCCCCCCCACCACACATATATATATTGAGATGAAGGGCTACAAATCTAATTTGCCTTTCTCATTGTAGACTAAATATAGCAGATTCAAAACACATATATTGTCTGTGTATATGAGATGACAACCTACAAATGTAATTTGCCTTACTCTTCATAGACTAAAATTAGCAGATTCAAGACAATCCAGGTATTTTTTCATTACTGAACTGCATTTTCTGAGATAATTACATCTTTTCAAGTTATACTCCAATTCACAGAGTAGGTATCTCATTGAAATTCTTTCATGGTATAAGATTATTGAAGACCAGACTTTACCTCTTCCGAAGGAAAAAAAAAATGACTGCAATTTGAATAATTAGTAATATAATCACCTGATCACTTTTGAAAAATGTTATTGTGGTAAGAACACTTAATGTGAGATCTGTCCTCTTGAAAATTTTAAGTGTACAATATACTATTGTCGACTCTGTGTGCACAGTTAACTGTACAGTGGATCTCTAGAGCTTACTCATCTTATTTCTAATATCTAGGCCTTTAAAAATGGCTACCATTTGTTAATTTGTTTTTTTAGAATTACCTAGAAAGTTCTCCCTTACTATATGGGAGGAGGCAGGACTTTACTATGGACCAGATTTAAGACTGGCTGAAACAGGAAAGAGGCTAAAGCACCTGTCCGTAAGACACGCCCTCAAGTTCCATGTCAGTTTACCATTGCCATGGCAACACCTGGAAGTTACCACCCCTTTCCGTGGCAATGGCCTCAAATTTACCAACCCTTTTCCAGGGCAATGACGTGGAAACAACCACCCTTTTACTAGAAATTTATTAATAACTCACCCATTAATTTGCATGTAATTAAAAGCAGGTATAAATATGCAGAACTGCTCCAAAGCTGCTATTCTCAGCGCACTGCCTATGGGGTAGTCCTGCTCTGCACAAGCAATTACAAAGCTGTAACACTGCTGCCTCAATAAAGCTGTTTTGTTTTACCACTGGCTCATTCTTGAATTCTGTCTTGAGCAAGGCCAAGATCCTTCTTAGGCTAAGCCCCTATGTGGGGGCTCACCTACCCTGTCTCAACTTCATCCCTGCTGTAGCTTTAGACATACATTATCATATGCTAACAACTGGCTAGTAGGATAGGTTTTTGAACAGGAGCTATTGTGAAGTCTGCTGGCACATTCATAAGCAACAATGAAATTCATGTGGATTACCTCATAGCCCAGCACTCTTCCCGTGTTTCTATTCCAGGCAATAGCATTCCATGAAACCTCCATTTCAGAAGCAGAAAAACTCTGGACAGAAGTTCCTCTTGGGGCCAGTTGAGGTTCTACCATCCAGAGAAAGAGATAACCATCTTTAGCAGAGTGGTTCATTGAATAGGGAACAAGGGAACACAAACTATGCATAGAGTCTCAAAGAAAACCAGAGCTGAGAACAACTTACCATCTTCCCCGGAGTAGACAATGGTCACCGTACTCAGGGATCCTTCTCCTTCATCATTATACACACCCACTTTGACTTCAAAGGGAGAAAGTGGGATGATACTTTCATTTCTGTAAACAAATCTTGATGATTCCGCAGATGCTACTTTCTCCTTGGTCCAGGTTGTTGAGCCCACTGGCCGGAACATGACGATATATCCAAATCCCTCCCCATTCTGAAGTTCTTCTGGAATTGACTTGGGAAGAATGTGATAAATCACTGAGTATTCGCAAATACATTGTATTAAGCTACTATAATATTTATTGATTATTTCATATTTCTTCATAGAGACAAATATGGACATTTACTATGTTTAATGATGTATTAAAAATACTTTTATTTGAAATGCCAATTAGAAAAATGATTCCATTTAAGATACTCAGATAAATAGTTGAAGTTTTCAGATAGAAATATAAAACAAGCTTTACATATTTATATCTTTTTCTTTGATAACTAATAAATTATAGTAATAAAATAGGAGATTTTATGATACACACTAAAATATGGTTTTGATATGAATTTTTAAACTCAGCACAGATTAACTTATTAACTATTTATTTCAAGACTAGGTATGTTTTCCTTTCACAACATTTTAAACAAGTTTTTGTAAGACATGAGTAATGTAATTATTGTGAAATAGCATATGACTAAAGACATAGAATATTTCTTTAAAAAGTATAAAGATTTCCCATCATTTTTTAGGCATACATCTTCATTGATAGTGACATGTGTGCATTTTTCCTAACATGACAAAATAAACTGTTAACTCTCACAAAGATCAGATTTTATAAAATACATTTCAAGTCTAAAATTACTAAACAAAACAGAAATAGATACATATTCCCCCTGTACTCTACAGATACTAAAAATCATAAACAATCATATGAAGTTAGCAAATTAAAATGAATCTGTGCTTGAATTTAGACCCACATATCTCCTAATTGCAAGAAACTTGGATTGAAAAATCAATGGAATTTATTTGGTTTTCCCAAAGGAAAATGCTTTGCATTTTGTTTTGTTTTGTTTTGTTTTATTTTGTTTTTTGTAAATATTCTGATACACTAATAAAGGCAACACCTGGCAGGACATAGTGCTTCTAGTCCCTCATGCCCACAACTCCATTTCAAAAGTTCTCTTTATTTGTGGGAGTTCATTTATTATATCAATCACATTATCCTGCCACTTGGAAGCCATATGAGAACCCATCCATGAGCACCAGAACCACAAACACCATCTTGGTGAGTATCTATGAGGGCAGAATCTCTGTACTGTATAGTGACTAATAGACACGGTCAATTCCTCTCATAGAGTTTGCATATGAAACATGGTGAGTGGCAGAACAATAATAGATATACACAGAGCAGGCAAAAATTAGAGAACATGCAGTAGCAGGAACAGTGAGGCAATAAAAGCTAAGAGAAAACAGATGCTGTAAATTAGAGAGAGGCGATCTAATTTAGCTAGCAGCCAGGTAGAAAACTGGAAGTAAAGGAAATGGGAGGAACTGAGGCATAAGCATGAGAGACTATTAAAGACAGGGCTGGATCAGCAAAGAGGTTGTTGATGGTTGGCTAGAGTTCTTGTGCTCGGGTGCATAGAGCAGTGATGAACGATGTTCCAGTTCTTCATTTGACCTGCCTGCCTGTTTGCTGAGACTTTTTTCTGTCCTCATTACTCCCCATGTAGCTTTAAAATAAATCCCCATTAACTGAGATGACCTGAGCTGGTCTCTATTTCTTGCCATGTGAAACAGTCTCACAAATTCAGAAAGGGAAAAGAGAAAGAAAAATGCTCCTCCTGATATCTGGGAAAACAAAATATTTCCTCATGTTAATGCTTCTCTTCTTTTTCAAATGGAGACTAGAACTAAAACAGTTAATTTTCAATGGCATAGAAGAGATTTATAAGAAAACGCTGCTTGTTAGAGCATTTGATTCATTTCTGAAGTTTCTTTGATCTCAGATTTAATCGAGATGCTTAGTTCATCTACATAAATAGGGGACTTTTGTTTTTGTTAGTCAAATACAATTAGTGTTTCTCATGGTGCTCTCTCAAGAAAGATCTGAGTCCGACATATGCAGTTTAGTGGTATGTGGCTCTTTCGAGCTGCAAAGGCAAAGTGAGATTTCAGAAAAGAGATCATATGGCCCACAAGACTGAATATTTTTACTGTCTGGCCCTTTAAATAAAAAATACGCCAACTCTCAGTGTAGGTATGTAACTCTTACTCCACAGTGTTTTATCCTGTATACCTAATTTTATAGTCATATTTATGAGAAATTCACCACAAGCACCTCAAACCTGGAAGTATTTGGGGGTATACATTATGATAAAGAATAAACATGTTCTTAAAAATTAGCCATTGCTCTATTCTAAAAGTTTGATATTATGTCTAGGTTATTGGAAACAAGCCAAACCAAAACAAATAAACACAAAATCTACATTTACTGTGTGGTACTGGAGAAAACACAGGGAAGATGTTTAGTTCAGTCCAGGCAGATTATACTGCACTGTGCCTAAATGAAGGCTAGTCACTAAAGCTGTCACTTATAAAACATAGTGGCAGACTGTGACTGAATTTAGAATAGTCTTGTGTCCGACAGTGCTTTTCAAAGTTCAACAGGCACTATTTCAACTACAGTAGGAGTGACACTGGCCGGTGGTGGCCTCTCTACCTCCAAGTTACTTTTCAAAACACAGTTCAGATATACTCAGTTCTGATCATGTCTTTCCTGACCTCCTTCCAGGCTGGTTTAAGACCACTCTTTCCTGTAGGTATCTGAGCATTCAGACATTTTCTCATCCATTTCTGTATTCTACTAATAGAAACACAGAAGCTACTTAATATTGAGTTCATCTAAATTGAAGGAATTACTACCTGCATTCGGGTGGCTCAGATTCACACTAATGTATGAATCGTCTCCTAAATATACCTAACTTATTCCATAAGGAAGTTGGGCACGAGAAGAAGTTGCCTCAGTATCTGCCAGTACATAATGTAAAATACGAGTGATAAATGGGAAACTGAATTCACTAGTTTAGTTTCTGCAAGTATCTGCATATTAGATATCCCAAGAGAAAGCACACAGAGGAACTGCCTTTAATTTAATTTATTTTTTGAAAATAGAGGTTAGTATGCTTTTTCTGTAGAAGTTCAGATAGTAAAGGTAAAAAAAATCAACTTTTATTTTAGATTCAAGGGGTGCATGTGCAAGTTTGTTACATGGGTATGCTGTGTGATGCTGAGGTTTGGGGTATGATGGATCCTATTACACAGGCAGTGAGCACAGTGCCCATCAATAGCTAGTTTTTCAACCCTTACCCCTTCCATCAGCACTCTAGTAGACCCCAGTGTCAATTGTTGCTACCAAATAGTAAATATTTTAAGCCTTGTGGGATATATGGTCTCATGCCACAGCAAGAAAGCAGCAATACATGAAAAACAATGGGTATAGCTATGGGTGGATTTATTTACAAAAACAGGAAACTGGCCAAATTTGTCTCATAGGTCATGGTTTGTGCACCTTTGCCTTAAAGAAAAAATAATATTATAAATCATAGAAAGACAGTATTCTTTTGGTAATTCATGTTCATCTCCATTTAAGAATGATAAGGGCTGGGTGCAGTGGCTCACACCTGTAATTTCAGCACTTTGAGAGGCCAAGGCGGGTGGATCGTGAGGTCAGGAGTTCGAGAGCAGCCTGCCCAAAATGGTGAAATCCCGTCTCTATTAAAAATACAAAAGTTAGCTGGGCATGGTGGCATGTACCTGTAACCCCAGCTTCTTAGGAGGCTGAAGCAAGAGAATCACTTGAGCCCAGGAGGTGGAGGTTGTAGTGAGCCAATATTGTGCCACTGCACTCCAGCCTGGGCAATAGAGTGAGACTGTCTCAAGACTGATATGCATAGAATTTGTCCCTTCATTATAGACTGTGCACAAATGATCGCAACACTGACCTTTAGGAATTTCTGAGCAAGGGGGAGAACAAAATAAATAGTAAGTCGGCAAAACTGCCTATACACTATTATGATTATGCTTATATGGCTTTTGATGAATACGGAAACCTAAATAAACTACTCACAAAAAATTCTCTTGTAGTCTCACTTGAAAGTCAGTGTTTTATAAGAAATATGTTTTGAGTAGCAGGTATAATATGGTTAACTTGCTACTTAAGGTAGATACTCAAGGACTCATGCCCACCCTGGGACATCACATTGCCTGGGGACAATTGGGATTGTAATACAGGATACAGTAAAAGAAAGTAAGGGGATAGTCCTGTGTTCACACGCTTCTCTGCCCAATGATACCACATTTGTAACCCTCAGTTTTCTTACCTGAAAGTGGTGTAACCACCTCCTAGCATTATTGTGAGGACTAAATGATATGAAATGCTCTGTGTGGCACCTGAAACCTGTAAATGCTTGAGAAAATAGGGCTTCCCCCTCTGTCTAACCTCGGAGAGTCCCAACTCTCTGAAAACACTGCCTTTCATTCAGCCATTGCTCATGGAGGGTGGATCACATTCCAGGCACTGTGCTAGGCCTATGATGTCTACATGAAACAAGATGTCCAGAGGGAAGGGTGACTTTCAGGGCAGTTGCCTCTAGTTTCTGACACTGTCATTTATAACCATAAAGAACAACATCTCTGTTTCCCAGTTTTCTCTCAGAGTCTAGCTGTGTGAAGTAGGCACCTGATTTGTACTTTCTGGAACATAAGGAATGCAGTTTATTTTAACTGACAAATGTCTGAGAAACTTTTAAAGTGGGGAGAGATCTGGACAGCCTATGGTGGCAGAGTGAAGAGAGATAAGCAAGTATGCATTGCACTTTCACTAAACATGGAGCAGGGCATGTGTCTGCTGAGGGCAAATGTGAAACTCATGCAATGGGTAGCCTTGTAGGGGACTCTATCTACAAAGACCACCTAGAAGAGAGAGAATATTCACTGGAAGAGTGGAAATGGACCACCGAAGTCCAGGAACTGATACTCTTCAGCAGCCAGTGGGGTCTGCATCAAGGAATTACAATTAGGAGTCCCTGGTGGAGGAGCCTCCGGGGACCAGCTCCCAGATAAAAAATAAACAAATAAAACAGAAACCCTACCCCATGAAATGGCAGTGTCTGGAAATTTGCCATACCTAGAGTGTACCAAAATCAAATCAGAAATGTACCAGTAATCCAGACATGTTCCTCCCTCCTTTCCTCCTAACACCAACCTTCTACAGCTCTGGAGAATCCAGAGGTAATGCTGTGAATGAGGAAAGATAAATTACGGAGCAGAATGGAGAGAAGTTGAACTGACCATATATTCCCTTTCCTGCTACAGAATCTTCAGGCTGAGGCACTAAGCTACTGAAAATGAGAAACTTTAAAGCCACTGAACGTCTAAACTCTAAAGTTTATACTCCAGTCTGATGTGTATACACCAGATGAAATTTGTAATAAGTTTAAAAAATTGAACCTATATGTTAGTGTGTAATAAGAATGACCACAAAATCTACTCCATGTGCCTAAGCTTTCATCTAGATGCAGAAAAGAACAAGTTGATCAAATGTAAAGAGCAGTGTTAGGACAAGAATTGTTTTTTGCCTGCAGTCTACTAAGCTCACCTTATTCACAATACAACAGTGCAACAGGTCATAAATCAAACAATGCCTAATTCATCAATTGATAATGAAAATGCTACTGACCCACACTTGAAAGATATTGAAGTTGTTTTTTATGTATTTGGGAGAAAATTGTGCTGAGTTCATCATACTGTCTCACAAAGAGAAAAGTTGCTAATACCTCCTCTACATAATTCATCACCAGGATGATGTATTTTTATACTATATATTTTTATATGTTCTCAATAGTGATCAAATACATCTTTGTCTTTCAGTATTCTTCCTGGCCAGCTAAATCTCTTTTCTTCAAAATAATTCAGTTAGGCAGAAAATTACCTCCCACGTAATGACGAGTTCAGACCGACTTCCTCCACCTCCATTGATGTTTATTGGCGCCACAACAGGGACTAAAAGCAACCAAGAGAAATGTGGGTTGGCAATTGTTAAAGTACATCTTCATCAGGAAGAATTTTGTTTTTGGATTTCACCTTTCAAAATCTCACGCAGGCATATTGTGAAAGAGTCTTGCATTTTTAATGAACATAAATTATGTTTACACATATCCAAATTTCTAAGAGAGAGGACACAGTTGTGTTTGATACATGAGCACCCTGGCTCCAAAATTAATTAAAAATTGAGTAACATCGGGTATTTGACATTATTATGCATCATCTACTAATTGGCAAAATGATGTTCCATTCAGATGGTAACAGTGACACTGCTGATTTAGTGCCTAATTATACAGTTGTGCTGTAAACAAGTTACAGAGGCAGTATATTAATTAATTATTTTTTCAATAAACAAACTAAAATAATTTTTCTTTTTATTAGTCATCAGGATATTTTAACATTTAAAATTAAATATTGAAAAATATGTAAATAAATACATTCTTATTTTAAATCTTCCCATTAGAATCTCAAATCTCTCAGGAGAGAATAAGAAGGAGTTTTCTTCTAACTTTTCACTTGCGAAGTCAGATTTTTCTCCTGTGAAAAATGTGATTAGGAGAGGTTCCTTCTATTTATCTCTTGGGATCTAAGGCTCTGTGGTAGAGGATTCAGAAACCAACGACTGATGAGTTTTTAAAAAATATGTCCCTCGAATATACCCTTGTGGGGACTAATGCAATGAATAGTAGTTCAATAGAAATTGTAAAACTGAGGAAATTCTGAGTGTGTACAGGGTACTGTAGTATCTAATGAGAATGAGGTTTTGCTTTACACATGTGTAAGTGTTTACAGCATTGTTTTTCTTGACATAATGACAAAAGTATCCTAAATCTGTGATTATGGCTAAATCACATTTTAAATTCTTTTAAAATGTGGAATTACATGAAATTGTCTATATTGGACCATTTTTGAACAATATGAAAGGTGGTTGAGGAAGCACCTGGGTATACCTGGGGACTGGTAGGCAGAAATTAAAATATGTAAGTTTTAATTCTTCATTTCAAAATTTTTCCCACCATATAGACCATCTAAATAAATCTAGATTACTTATTTTATTTATTTCCATTTCAAACAGATACTTAGCTCTATAAACATGGCCAGAAAATAGTCACAATAATCTGATTGTTCTTTTTTTTTTGAGACAGTGTTTCCTTCTTGTTGCCCATACTGGAGTGTAATGGTGCAATCTTGGCTCACTGCAACCTCTGCCTCCTGGATTCAAGCGATTCTCCTGCCTCAGCCTCCCAAGCAGCTGGGATTACAGGCATGCACCACCACACCCAGCTAATTTTGTATTTTTAGTAGAGACAGGGTTTCACCATGTTGGTCAGGATGGTCTCAAACTCCTGACCTCAGGTGATCTGCCCACCTCTGCCTCCCAAAGTGCTGGGATTACAGGCATAAGCCACCATGCCTGGCCTGATTGTTCTTTTTCAAAATAGCACCTTTCAGATACACCTTTTCATATTTAAAATTGTCCTTAAGTTTGTCAGCTTTAAGCTTCATAATTTTTTAGAAAAAAAATATTTAAACCTAAACCCTATTTTCTAAGTCTTCGAATGCCTTTGATCAAAAGCTATGGGAATCAGTGGATTTTACAGAGTTGTTGAATTTATAGTGCTTGACAGCTTATTGTGACTAACTGCACACTATCTCAAGACCTTTGCATAGTTTAGCTATGTAAGGAAAAATATTTTAAATTATATTTTGATTTACTTTTATAAAATTTCCAGTGCTGTGAGAAATAGAAAATTCCTTTCCTCATTCAATTTCAAATTAATTGTACTTAAACCTAAAACCATATTGAGAACAGATTAGTCTTTGATGATATCAGAGAGAGAGAGAGAGAGAGAGAGAGAGAGAGAGAGAGAGAGGAGAAACTCAGTAGGGTTTGAATCAGTACAGTTTGACTCAATGAGTATCACCAGTCTCGTTTTGCTACTGGAACAAGAGAGCCTTAATGGATAGAAAGTGGCACACAAACTTTGCTATTAAAATGTCAGAGTTTGTGTCAATGTCCAAAGCTACGAAAACATAAATGAACTATAAACAAACAACCTGAAACCAAAGCTCATAACCAGAGTCATGGGCCACACCTGAAGATTGAGAGCCAGGAGGCATATAGGAAAGCCTGGGGATTTATTTACACACTTTAATAGCCAAAGAAAGTGTGTAAATATATTTACACACTTTCTTTGGCTAATCTAATCTATTGCTTATCTACATTAAGATTCACTTTTATGGAGAATGCTGGGTGTAGAAATCAGGACATCTGGATTCAAATTCTGGCTCTGTCAAAAACACCCAGCTAATATCCTGGTCTTCATTTTCCTCTTCTGTAAAACAAAGGGATTTCTTCTCAGCTGTAAGCTTCTAGCGTGATTTAATTGGATGATATCACTGTCAAGTATGTCCTTTTTTCTAGCCCCCATTCCAAGATAAACATATAACATTATCTTTGGTTTATGAATTGATTTATTGACTTCTGACAGTTGTACTCACTTTAATAAGGTAATTTGTGTTTGTTAAATTAAGCTGGTGACAACAAAGTGATCCTTTGTTTATGTGACTGAATAAGAATGTGAACTTTGGGGGCCACATACAGCTAGCAGATTAAATGTCACGCCGGATGTGAAAGTCTGAGTGCAACAAAGAGGATCCATTGAAAAGAGCTTAAGAAGGCATAGTTTCTGAGCCAGGTTCTTGTGTTCTGCTGTTCAGTGAACCAATTAATGCTCAATTAGTGCTCCTGTTAAATGAGTTTAGGATTTACCTCATTTGCATGGAAAAGAATTTATACTATTGCTCAATGAAGCTACAACTAGGTCAGAGTTTTGAAATAGATGGAAATGTATGGCTGACTGCACCAACAGAGTCTCAATTAATTCTTGGCTACAACATTTTAATGAAACAAGCAATAACTCATTTGCATATACAAATCTACAGATTCTGTCTTGGATTTTGACTAGAAAATAGATGTGATGCAAACACAGTTTCTGAAGAACTTTAATTTTGACATGTTGGCTTAAAGGTGATTATCTCTTATTGAACCCACTATTTGGGAAAAATACACCTTGCCTTGTATATGTAAAAATGGGAAATAGAGCCACTCATTTACTGTCAAACAATTTTGAGCCAAAAGTATTAAAGGACCATAATAATACTTGTTTTCTTTAAGAACTATATCATACAGATTTTTCTACATTTTTAGAACACATCGATTCTTTACCTGATGCTTTAGTTCTTAACAATTCTGATGGTTTACTTGGTTCTCCAATCCCAATACTGTTGCCGGCAACAACACGAAATTCATATTCTACCCAGGGACTCAAACCAACCACTGTTGCATTGTATGTCTTGCCATTGAGAATTTCTGGAACTAAAAAGAATGGGACATTAAGGCATCTAAGTTGGCACTAGTCAAAAACAAATAATTATACAAAATGATATAATTATTAATTAAAAATATGATTGCATTTGTTAAAATGATTGGACTGAATATTATTCTTTTAAAAGCATCCCAAAACACTTTTGTCACTCACCTGTAGCAACAGCCTGCCAACCCACAGAAAATGGATGTCCGAGTCTGAATAGTAAATATTTGAATGGGACTGTTATTATCTGGGCCTGGTCTCCAGCTTAGTTGAGAAGTAGTGCTGGAAATGTCTTCCACTTTCACGTCCTCAGGAGGACCTGGTGGACCTGGAAAAACATGTTTTAGCATGACTACATTGGAGATACTTACATTCATTAATTTGGGACAAGGAAGGTTTATTTTTATCTGTTGTGCTTAAAAAGTAAAATATTGACCATAATATACTTGTAGCACATTATTAGAAATAAAGTTGTATTAATTCCATTTATGTGGTAAGAGACATTAATTTAGTAGTGCTTCCTCTGGGGATTAGAAAATGTCAGGCATATGGTGATTGCATATCAACCTATACTCAAAAATTGAGAACCATTGTCTTTAATTCATCTTAAATCTAATTCAAATAAATGCAACTAATAGGAAGCACTACAGGAGCATGTGGATTTGACCCTGCATTGACAAGAATGATTTATTATAAACAGAAGGCATGCCTCAGTATTAGGTACTGACACTGCTTGCCAAGCCAGACTGTTCATTATAGATAAATCCTACAGAATTCTATGTCCATAACCACACTACCCATACCTTGGAGTCTTGAGGTTTAGAAAATAAAAAATCTATGTAATTTAATCTCACTTCCATATCATGATGTGGTTTCTCAGAGGTCTACAATTTAGATATCAACATTGTGACTGTGAGTAAACAATGTGATCATTTTTTCACAATTTATGCTTACCTCTCACAATGATATCCGCTACTGCAGATAAACTTTCTAGAGTTGTTTGTACCGTGCAGAGATATTTTCCTGAATGATTTAACTGAATATTCCTTATCATCAAATCCCCAACAGATTCCTGCAGATAGAAAGGGAGAAAAGGATAAAAATCTAAGCCCATGTAACAAGTCCTATCTTATTTTTACAGCTGGATAAATATTAAACATAAAACAACTCTGAAATTAAAAGATATACTAGCATCATTTTCATTTCTTGCATCTAAACCCTTTTATTATCCCCCTTATTATAATTACATCTAGAAAACAAGTATTTCTATGAGAGACACAAAGCAAAGTAAACAGAAACAAAAACAACTGCATTTTCTAAAACAGACAGTGATTATCCATGCAAATAAAGATGGAGAGAGTAATTATAAAAAATGGTGATTCATGTAAAACATTTGATTCATTTTATTAAGCATTTAACAATTTCAGTAACTTACTCCTCCAATCCTTTCAAAATGAGCCACTCCTTTTTTTAAGTCTATGACATCTCCATTGAAAAACCATATAAATACCACTTCAATGGAGGGGTCATGCGACACCTGGCATGGTAGCACTATACTCTCGCCAACTGTAACATCCATTTTGGAAGGTGGGATGGTAATGACAGTTCTCTCTGTTGAGAAAAAAATATTATTTTTTTAAAAGCTTATGAAATGCAAGTGCATGGCTATAAAATACATATTTCTGAATCCTTTTTTAATCATTTGAAATTATATAAACAAAAGCTGGAGTTCTACTATGTCCAGTATGAATATTCTATTGCCTGTTTTTAAATGTCCTATGTTTATTTTCATTATAGCTTATTACCTATACTAAAATTAAAAACATAGTTTTATTTATACCTTATATGGAAATAATTTACAGAAATCTGTAGACTTCAAAAAATGGCATTCCATATATATCGAATGTACTGTGCCATGTTTGTTGTATTTTCTTCTAAATTTTGAGTCATAACATAATTGACACACTGGTAACAGCTGTAAATACTCTCTGTTAACTTCAAATACTATGAGACAAACTATGTTCCTAAGATTATGACCACCATAGTTTCTATAAAGATTTAGTCATATGTATATATTTAAGAGGGTGAATGCAACATATTTATTCTACCTTTGACACAGTTGTGACAATAAATTTCACTTTTAGTTAATGCAACATGAATAGGGAATTTGGAAGTTTTCCCTTTTATAATTCAGATTTTTCAGTGTTAGAATTACGCATCCATCATAAAAACTTTCCCTCTAGAAAAGTTAGTTTCTATTTCAATATTTGTTCTACAAGATCTAGCATTTCATTGACCAGAATTTCAAAGGACAATCCTAGGATGTGCCAGTTGTACTTGAGAGTCCTGTATTTGTTCAGATTAAAGAAGAATTCACAATGTAGATCATTTTTGACTACTTTGTTAATAATAAAATTCTGATCCAGAGTGTTGAGAATTGATCAAAAGGGCAACTCAGTATCCATGAAGGGGCCCTGGGCAAACGTTTGGATTTAGATATGTACCATCTTACCAAGAATAAAATTTTTTGAAAGCTTTACATTCAAGAATAACGGTTTTAGGAAAGTTATTATAAAAAATATTGTACATGAAGAAGTTTAAAAACAGTGAAATGACCCTGGAGCATCTCTTTCTCTATGGGTCATTTATAAGATAAAGTTTAGCCCTCTAAGACATGGACCAAAAGCTTCACTTTCTTCTAGCTTCTTCATCCTGCCTTAGAAACCAAACTAACATTGAGATTGCATTTATATGTTCACATTAATGTGTGACTGCATTTTACCAATAGAATGTTTAATTATTATTTGACCATTTAAACATTTTTAATTTTTTCTTCATAAGTATTTGAAAGTGGAAACTAGGAAGTAATAATTTGGGATGTTAAGGTACATATTGACAAAAGAGACATGGAAAAATAAAAACACATGCTATATTTCTGAATATGAATATAATGGAGAAAATTGGGCTCCTAATCAATATCAGATAGGCCTTCTTTTTAAACTATTTAAATCCTCTTTCTATTTTTATATTAGATGCATGCACTTTTTATTGATTTTTATTATTATAATTATTTGAGATGGAGTCTTGCTCTGTTGCCCAGGCTGGAGTGCAGTGACACCTTGTCAGCTCATGGCAACCCTCGCCTCCCAGGTTCAAGAGATTCTTCTGCTTCAGCCTCCTGAGTAGCTGGGATTACAGGTATACACCACCACGCCAGGCTAATTTTTGTATTTTTAGCAGAGACAGAGTTTCACCATGTTGGCCAGGCTGGTCTCGAACTCCTGACATCAAGTGATTCACCCGACTTGGACTCCAAAGAGCTAGGATTACAGATGTGAATTACTGCACCTGGCCAGATGCATGCACTTTATATTCTAATTATTTCTAAGCAGAAATTTGAAGAATGTTTTTGTAGACTATGCCCATTCTTAATTCCAAGCCTTCTTCATAGATCTGCAACCAAAATAAGGGTAAATTATACCTAGGGATCTAAGAAAATTTTTTAGAACAAGAAAATATATTTTCCTTTTGTATTTGCTCTGAAAACAAATCAGAAATGTCTTATTTACATTTATAGGAGGATGAGTTGGCTAATTGGATGTGTTGACAGAGCAAAACTGCCCAGATTTAAAGTTTTAGATCATGCAATTAAGGTAATTTTCAAACATTAAAAATGACAGCAAGTCCTTCCATTTATGATACCATATAATGGCAAAATTAGACAAATTATTCCCTATCTACATAGCTCATTGTAATACAGTAATAATCTCTAAAACTTTATGAATAAGAAATGTTTGTGTTATCATTAATGATTACATTTTTCACTAGTTAATTCATTTGTAACTAACATTTATTGAGCAAGTAACTTATGTCCAATCCTCTGCTAATACTGAAGTCACAATGGTGAAGAAAATGGGAGGGGGGAACCCTGCACCAAATAAAAAAGATAAGGAGTGTTCCTTCACAGAGATGAAAATCTACAGAAGGAAGCTAGCATTAATCAGATCATATCAACCACTATACAGTAATGTGTGACAAGCACCATATACTAAAAGTGACTTTTTCAAAATGTTTGGCAGATGCTGAGGGGATCAGTTTATTAAGAAAAAACTGTTTTAGCTGGGAAATAAAAGGCAAGTAGTAGTGAGCTACATAAAGGTAGCAGGGAAAGAGAGGAAACTAGATTCCCTATACAGGCAAGAGCATTCACAGAGAAATTATGTGAAGAACTGTAATTGACAGATTCAGTGCAGCCATGTTGCTGAGAAGGCTAGGATTAAATGAAGAGTAGGAGAGGAGTGAAAGTGAAGAAGATGAAGCTGGATGATAGCCATACTCAAGACATAAGTCACAAATGTCATTAAGATCAGCTGCATAATTTATGAGTCCCAGGGCAAAATGAAAATGTGGGGTATCTTTTTGAAAAAGAGAAAAAAGTGTTATCAAAGGTACTAAATATAAAATTTTTTACTTTAAAGTAACTTATTACTTATACAATAAAATCAGGGTAACACTCACAGATGAGTCATGACACACACATTACAAAATAGATGATTTTGCTGTCATAATTTTATATGATATAATAAATAATATTTTATTAAGGTTATATCTTGATTGATTTTATAATTTTCTCATTTAGTTTTCTGGTAACTCATTTACTAGATCAACAGAATTTATAATTTTAGCAACTTCATTTTCAATTAAAATGTTCAGTGACATCAGTCACTCCTGGCAAATGCAAGATCACAAATACTTTTAGAAAAGTTTTTATTTTGCAAACTATCTTACCGCTGATGCAACTTTTGAGAAACCATTAAGCCTGTTTTATAGACTATAGAAATAGTCATAAGTTTCTGATGAATTACATTGAAATATAAATTTCAGAACATCTACAGCTGATGATTCCTTTCACCAATTTTTTCAAAAAAAACTTTAACTCTTTATACAAATCCGTTTTGTGAGAGCCTGATATTAGTTTTAAATATAAATGTATGCAATGGAATCTTAATATTTCCTCTGGCATATGCTATAACTTGTGGAGGTTGTACAATAAATTGAAAGGGACTTCATGATTGTCATATAATTCAAAATGCCTGTTTTTGCATTCCATTTTTGTACCTTCAATTACAAAAAAAAACTCATCAATAATTGGTTTCCCCAAAGCTTCATATTAAAAAAATGTTCTTACCATTGACTGGAATAATCTTTAAGTTTAATTTCTATTTCTAAGACTGTGGATTTCATGCAATGTCCATGCGTATGCCTTCAATTTGCAATAATTTATTGACAAAGTTTATTGTCTGAGTACTAACATTTTCTGTTATGGGGCTCAGGCTGGAAAGTTAGTATTTCTGGAAATTCCACAGAGAAAGCCTACAGGGATGTATGGGCAAGCTGGCCTCCCACCTTGGATCCTCACATTGACCCTTTTTGAAGTCTCCTCCTGCAGCCTTTGCTGCGACCCACTGCTGTTTCTATAGCTGCTACCACCATCCTCTGCATCCATCTAAGAGGCCCAGGTTCTGATGTGCCCACCCTCAGGACTGCAGGACTATGACTACACAGGCGTGCGTGCACACCTGCACACTGCACATCACACCAACTGCTATGCATGCATGCTGACTGGTGCGTCCTCAGGCCTGAACCCGTGTGTACATGAGCTGCTGCTGCTACATATGCTACCGTACATGCATGTGGTTACAGTGAAGCAGCAGCAGCAGCAGCAGCTCATGCACACACAGGTTATAAATACATTCTTAATCATTTTATCTCTCAATTTGTGTTCTGTACATACTTACATACTTACAAAACACAAATTGACACATAAAATAATTAAGAATTTCAAGACAGTCACAGCAGAACATTACCCCAAACCTGGGGCTTCCCTCAGCACCAGGCTCTGTGTGACTGGATTGTATGTCCGTGAAACCAGCTCTGGATGTCATGCTAAGAAATGTATTCTTGCATAGAAGTAGAGAGTAGCATGGTGGTTATTATAGGCTGGTGAGAGGGAGGAATGGGGAATGGGGAGACATTGTTCACAGGGTACAAAATTTCAATTAGACAGGAGGAATAAGTTTTAGAGACCTACGGCATACCATGGTGACTATAGTTAATGTAAGACATATTTGATAATTTCTCAATGAGGATTTTAATTGTTCTCATCACAAAAAAATGATAGGATGTGAAGTGGTGGCTGTGTTAAATAGCTTAATTTAATCATTACACAATGTATACATACATCAAAATATCACATCGTATCCCACAAATACACATAATTATTATTCATCAATTAAACACTTTAGAAATACATTTCTTGCTGTAAAATTGAAAACATTGAAAGTACAAAGCAAAGGCATGATATGATGACATGCCATGATCTGCAGTGTGAAAAATAAACTGTATTTAAAAAGAAGTAGCCTTTTGTAAGCAGGCTTATTATCCAGAAAAAGGGGATGCATAGTTCCTCCACGAAGTGGCCTCCTGTGTGGGTGATGAGGTGCTTGGACAAGAACATTTTTAACTGATGTAACCTCTCTGCACAACACAGGCAGATCTGTCCTCATCCTGTGCAGGTGGCTGTCTAATAGCCATAACACCACTGATTGCTC